AAAGATTGTAAAACTCATTCTTTTTTGCATGTTCTATCTAGAAGTAATTTTGAACAAATTGCTCTCACACGGTTACATAATAGTAACAGTAGTGTCAATCAGTCAAGTTACATTACATGCTATGAGCTTGTTCTTCTTTTCTTGATGAAAAAGCTTGGTTTGTTAAGAAGTTCAACTTGGCTCATTCGTTTAGTGGATTAAACCAAATTCAAGTTTTGTTGTCATGTTTTGGAAGTTTATGAGCTAAACTTATTTGTTATAATGAATTAAATTTTAAGTTCAAATTCCATTCCTTGAATTTCAATGCTACTAGAATTAAAAAATAACTATTAACAATTTAAATAATTCAAACTAATTGAATTTTAGTTTAAAACTCTAAATTGTATGAATTTGCATGCCATTTATGTAATAAAAAAAAGTACAAATTTCCTTCTATTAAAAAAGTCAATTTCCATTTTTTTACCATATACTAAAAACTATTGTTTTAATAATATGAAATTGAATATATAAAATTTCCTTGGGTAAACATAAACCATTTTTTTAGAGGTTTTTATGTGTGTAAAAGAAGTTAAACAAACAAAGCATTTGATTTCCTATCTCTGCACTGAATTAACGATTCCCAACCTTCAATGTCGTTGGCACTGCGTTCACCAATAACTTACTGCTTTCCGTCTTCTCTTTTCTGGTTTCGTTATTCGCCTCAGGTGTCTCTGCGTTTTCCAACACCAAGATAAATTTCTTTCCCTTTAACTGAGCTCTCTGGTTCTGGAACAAATTCTACATGTTGGTTTCCAAAATTAGGCTGTGCTCTGCCAGTTTGGCGCATGCATCATCTAATAGTCGAAATGGACTCGTTACAACCTGTTCAGTCGATTCAAAGCTGCAGGATAGGTGTTGGACCGCCTCGATGCTGCTCTCTGATTTCCTTTTGCTCTTAGATGCCCTCAGTGCTTGTTCTGTTGTTCATACTCTTCGGTCTCCTTCGTGAGAGGGGAATTCTGCAGCTGATTTTATAGCTGCACTTGGCCACGATTCTCC